TTTTCCTGAAGATGGTTGGTACTCTTAAAACTACTGTTATTTAAACCATTTAAAACACCAAATGTTGCAGATGTATAATTATACTGTCAAATACTCACATAAAGACCTTGTATTTCAAATTATATGAAAGTAAAAATAAAATTAATTAAAAAATAATCTGGAATTCCAGTTGCATAATAATGATCTCTTTCTCATAACCCAAATATTTGCATGAAGCCAAAGCTTGTGTAATAACTTCATACAAGAATCGAAATTAAGGAGGTTCAGAGACATTCCTGACAAAGCTAAACGTGCTATATAATTCCCTATGTAAAATCAAATTATTGTAAGATTTCAGATATGATATTTTATTTACTTTTTCACAATTTAAGGTTTCCATCACAAGGAAAATACAAATGACATCACATTTTAAAGCATAACAGTCTGCAGATTAAGTACTATCAAAGGAATAGCCCCACTAATTCCATATTCTTCTTGTTAGAAGAAACTTTTACTAAGGTATTATATATGATAAGGGCTTCCAACAAAAAAAAAAAGAAAAAAGAAAATGTTTCTTTTGCTATAAAAAGACAAAAAGGTATCACTTTTATCTGTCCCTAATAGTTAGCTTTAAAAGTAATCAAGAACCATACAAAAATCAGAAATAAAAATCTAAAGTTTTTAAGAATCTCTCCACTTCTTTTACTCTATGATGGTCAAACACAGACATCATAACTTATTTGGAACCCTTGTAAACTAAGTCAGATTTAATGTTCAAAGTAATTTCTTATCCAATGGTTAAAATGTCAGAGCAATTATTAATCCGCAGTCCTACTGAAGTGAGTGAATGTAAAGCACATTCAGCATTCCTCTAGCTTAGATGCCCAAAAGGAAAGCACAATTTGAGAGAAAATCAGCACTCTTTTACAAACTACTGAAATTTCATTAGTATGAAGAAACCTGTAGATATTCTGTTTTCCTTGGATACACATGTCCTGCTTTTGCTAGGACAGAAGCCTAGAATCAGTTTTCTATTCAGGAAAGCTGCATTTCTGCAAAGGCTCCAATACTCGATTTCATGTGAACAAAGCTGATAAGACGCTTTGTTTTCGTTTTCCACTGGCATTGGTATGTAGCAATTAAGGTCTTTTACAGTTTCGAGCTTGTCAGGTGCAGAAGCTTGGGGTAGCAAAACTCAGGGCCACTGACCTCAACCTGACCAACAAAATTATTCCATACCATAAGCGTCACACTCACTATAAATTGGGAAGTTTGCTGGGGATGGCCCTCTTTACTCAATGGCTGCAGTTCTAGGAGGGTCTCACCCATCATTCTACTCCCAAGGCCCACACCCCCACTCGCTGTGACCATCACAGCTTGCAACCACTGTATCAGCCGAGTATAACTCTCTGTACTTTATATTAATACAGGTTATTTTCATTATTATTTTCTTAAATCTGCTTCTATTTCAACTCACGGGTTTCCTTTCCTTTTCCCAATTCCCCTCCCCAGGTGTCTAAATTATGACAATATAGTAAAATACAAATGTCTGAGTTGTTAGTGAGAGGGGAAAAAATAAAACCCAAACAAAAAAACCCCAATCAAACCATAAAAGAGCAGGTCCAAATACTTTTATTATATCATCTTATTCACAGACTTAAACAAGAAGAAAAAAAATAGCAGAAAAGCAAAGGATGGTCACTGGATTTCTCTGATCATATTCAGTAAAGCCAGAAATGTCGTATTCGGATGTTTAGTCTATATCCTGTGGCTTTGTATTACAAGGCAATTTAATGATGTAAATATGTTTTCCAAACATTTTCAATTACTGGTGAAATATTTTCTAAAACTGGAAAGAGGGACATTACAGAACATAGTCAACATTATAATGATGTTGTTCAGCAAAATATTTTGACTACATCTTTTGTAAGAATAAGCAGCAAAAAAACCCCAACAAAACAACCCAGAAAAGAGTAAAGGGAAGTAGTTTGTATGTTAGAGATGCTAATTCGAGGGATAAACACAGCACACAAGAAGAAACTAAAATTTGCAGCAGTGGGAATATGGAGGCTATCAGATCTTTCAGAAAAACATAAGTGACTGCTATTATGTTTATAAACAGCTGAGCTGTTTCTTGTTTGCAAGACATTTGAAGAGAAAATACTTTCAAAGTCATTCTTTAATAAATTCCAACAAAACATTGGCCATATTAGAACTGACAACAAAACTAATTCCAAAGCACTAAGATTTTTTTACTTAATTTCTGATTGCATTCATCATCATGAGATTAATATTTGAAGCATTGTAAGAGCAATCTTGTTCTATTGTTAGACTAAAGCAATGCTTAACTGTTAGCAAACTGCAAAAGAAGTATGCTATTTACTTTCTCTATTTTTTAATAAAGTAACAGAGTTAGTGCTGCTGCTTAAAAATCAAGTTGTCTCTGCACAAAAAAAAATAAATCAAGAATATATATTTAAACTGAAAAGGAAAAGAGGAAAGCACAAACAAATAATAAAAAAGAATCCGAGAGATGACTCAAGCATTAACAAAATTAAAAAAAAAAAAATCGAGCAAATCACATGCTTATAATGGTTTGCAGAGGCTGGCACATTTGACTGAAGAAGCAACTTAAATGAACTAACATCTGGTTCCTCTGAAACCACAGGCAAGATGACAATGTAACTGGACTTAAAGAGAGAAACGTAGTGGTGCAACGTCAAAGAAAGCCCACTTAAAAAGAAACAGAAAAAAAAAAAAAAGAAAAAAGGAAAAAAGTTGCATCCAATTTCCATTCATCCAAGAACAACTTAGAAAGATTTTAGACTTGTGAACACTGCATTGCTGGTTTTAGTTTAAACAATGCCCAAGATTTTTTTTCTGAGTATTCAAGTCTAACTGAATTTTCTCATGACTGTAAGTATGCATGGCAAAGAGCCTCAAAACCTTATTGAACTATTTCATTGATACTTTCCTGCTACTTTCTTTACCCTGAGCAATACACAGATAAAGACTGTTCCCTTTGTAAAGTGACTCCAGTGACAGAAATGAGTGCATTTTCAAGGGTTTTCCCTGCAAAAAAAAAGTTAACTTAGAAATAAACAAACAGTGAAGAACATTTTGCTATGAAAGACTGTGGTCTTTCAGAGTAGCAGGGCAACTCTTATTGTCCCACAATGGAAAGGAAAATTGAGTCATTAACTACAGGGTGAAATAAATTTCAGGCACAGTTAAGGACTCCATTAGCCAAGGAACCTCATGACTATGAGGACATTTTGAAATACATATTTTTGCTTAAGGTAAAAATGAAGGAAGAGGATGAGAAACAGAAACATTCTTCAGGTACTGCCAACCCTACTATAAATGCACAAGCAAAATTATGCTTCAGTATTATCAGTAACAATAAAAACATCAATTAGAATACAAGGTTTAACACATTATAACACTCAGAGTAAAAATAGTCCTTATTCAGTTAAGAATGATTTTATAAATAAATTTTATCATTAAAAAACTCAGCTATTTGGAGATAATTGTATGCCTGAACACCACTGATTTTGATAGCATTTAAGTACTTAAAAATATAAAAAAATCAAAACTGAAGTCAATATAATGTAGCAAATCAATGTATAAAAATCTTGTATCAGCCAACACTATAGCAAAGGAAAACAATGCCACTTCCTCTTTATCAGAACACTGTATAGGTGAATTATGCAACTGGAAAACCTTTCTATTTTCTAGTAAAACACTCGAAAGGAAAAAAAAAAATAAAAATCAGTCAGTCTGTTGCTAGTTAGCCTTGATACTCTGGGTTCTTGTTGAGGATAATTCAATCCATAGCATGTAGCAATGAGAGTTTTAACCCTTCTCTTTCCAAGCACAATCAAATAAGGAATCCCTTTTGGGTAAAAGAAGAATCTAACAACATTTTTTAAAGCATATTTAACTTATTCCAGAGAAGTTTCAACTTCACTGGCTCTTCATTTTCACTGTCCATTACCCTCCTGCTTTATGTGAGACTTCTAAGAAGAAAATACAAGGGGAAATCAAGAAAATGAAATTATAAAGAGCTAGTTATATTTTTTACTTTCAAGCAACAATCTGAGAAAGACTAAGTGTCCAGCTGAGGATGTCTGTTTTCCTACAGTGCAAAACACCTGGCAGTGGAATAGGATGAAGAATAAGTTGCAGAATCATAGCTTAAACCAACAGATGGGTCAGGCAATAACTGAGAAAAGTTGGCACCTAAAGTAATACCTCTCAACTCACTATGAGTTTGAATTCTGGGCAGTAAGTTTTATAAAAAAACAAACATTATGCAGAGATTCTGCTTTCTCCAGAGTGGGATTTTCTCCCTCACTAAATGCGGTACTAATTTGAGCAATGTGGGCATAAACTGAGAATAGCATATGGAAAACTTACCTGGTTGAGAGTGGCATTCTACCTACACAGTGAACAAAGAGGGCTTCTTTATCAGTCTCAAATGCTGGTCTTTGCAAACTCTAAAATATGGGCATTGTTTGATTATTATATAGAGGAAAAAAACAAAACCAGTGCCAAAATCACTGGCCCACACGTTAAGACAAAAATAACGAGGGCAAAATTTTATATCTTCACAGATATTAATCCATGAGTGTCCCTAAATTAATGAAAACTAAAAAAAGGAGATAAGATTTTTGTTAGGTTTACCTCTTTCAAGGAACTATACAGGGAATACTTTTCTAGTGCAATGAGGTGAGCTTTAATATAGACAAAAACTATTTATAGATTTTTATGTCTATGCAACGAAAGAGGCAACAGTAGGAGTGCTATTTTAGGAGTTAATGGTACTTTAGCATACATGACATTCTCAGGGGATTTTTGCATATTTCACAAGTTCAGACATGGCAATATTTAGAAAATTAAAACATCAACTCACTTTCAAAACAGTGAAACAAACATTTGCTAGATCTCCTCCAAGTAATACAATGAAAGCTATTTTTGACTGTGTGTTACCCCAATTACTCGAAAGATCAACAACGTACCATTCTGCTACTGGTTTGGCAATGCTGTCAAAAACCACATCTTGTTTTGCCTCTTGATCAAAAATTTTCTGAAATCTGAAAATATTAAGCAAATAATAATTGCTCAGACTCTTAAAACACTACTTGATTCATACATTTTTGTTTGTGTTTGTAATAGTCAATGTTTACATCATTAGGCTTACATAACTTAGTACAATGTTTTCCCTGTAGTCTTAACCACAGCGTGCTGTTGTGCTATTGTACATAAATAGGCTCCACACAGTGCTGCTTTGACCAGATCTGTACAATAAAATCCTCTGATAAAGTGATGTGGCTTAGAAAAAAATAAACCCTATTTTAAATCTATCAAGAGAATCAGTGTTTGTAACTGGCATCACACTGAAACCTGGATAAATAGATTACACTATAACCAAATACAGCATCCCAACAGTATAACTCAGATCACATTTTTTCTTAACTACTTCCTTCATTCTGTGGCACAGTGACTGTAAGTCACAAGGAGATATTTAATACAATCTAAATTTTTGTCAATTCCTATACAAAATACTTAGAGTTGTCTTACAGAATCAAAGAATACTTCAGGTTGGAAGGGGCCATCTATTACAGTCTCTGTGCTCAAAGAAAGGTCAGCTAGAGTAGGGATCTGTACAGTCAGGCTTTTGAGTATCTCCATGCATAGGGACTCCACAACCTCTCTGGTCAACCTGTTGCAACACCTGATCTGATTTTTTGAAATTTCTTGTATTTCAATTTGTGCCCATTAACTCTTCTCCTGTCACTGGTTACCACTGAGAGGCATCTGGCTCCATCTTCATTATTGCCTCCCTCCCCATCAGGTGTTTATATACATTGATAAGACCCCCTCAAGCGTTCTCTTCTCCAGGATAAACAGTCCTAGGTCACTAAGCCTCTCCTCATATATCAGATGCTCCAGTACCTTAATCATCTTTGTGTCCCTTTGCTGGAGCTGAGAACTAGACAGAGAATTGCAGATGTGATCTCACTGGTGGTAATGAAAAGGCAACGATCAACTCCCTTGATCTGCTGGCAACACTCTTCCTAATGCAGCCCAGAGGCTGTTGGCATTCTTTGCTGCAAAGGGTGCATTGCTGACTCATGTTCAACTTTTTGTCTACCAGGCCTCTGAGTCCTTTCCTGCAAACCTGCTTTCAGTCAGTCCTGAGCCCATCCTGATTATTCCTCACCAGGTGCAGGACTTGGCATTTCACTTTATTCAACTTCATGAGATTCCTATTGGCCCATTTTCCAGCCTCTCGAGATCTCTCTGAGCACAATCTGGTGTGCCAACCATCCCTCCCAGTTTCGTATTGTCTGTGAATTTGCTGAAGGTTCACTAAATCCCATCACCCAGGTCATTAATGCCAAACAATACTGGATCACAGTACTGATTACATCACTAGTGACTAGCCTCCAGCTCGACTTTGTACCCTTGATGACAACCCTCTGAGTCCAGCAGCTCAGCTCATTTTCAACACCCCTCACTGTGCACTTAACTAAGCTTCCCTGATCCCATTCCTCAGACAGCCTTCCTGAGTCACCTGACCCACCTCTCACAGAATCACAGAATATTAGGAGTTGGAAGGGACCTCAAAAGATCATCCAGTCCAACCCCCTCCCAGAGCAGGATCACCTAGACTAGGTTGCACAGGAACACATCCAGGCAGGTCTTGAATGTCTCCAGAGAAGGAAACTCCACAACGTCCCTGGGCAGCCTGGTCCAGTGCTCTGTCACCCTCACAGTAAAAAAGTTTTTCCTCAAATTCAGATTGAGCCTCCTCTGCTCCAACTTGCACGCACTGCCCCTTGTCCTATCATTGGCTGTCGCTGAGAAGAGCCTGGCTCCTTCCTCCTGACACTCGTCCTTTACAAATTTATAAACATTAATGAAGTCACCCCTCAGTCTCCTCTTCTCCAGGCTAAAGAGACCCAGCTCCCTCAGCCGCTCCTCATAAGGGAGATGCTCCACTCCCTCAATCATCTTTGTGGCTCTGCTCTGGACTCTTTGAAGCAATTCCTTGTCCTTCTTCAACTGGGCAGCCTGTTCCAGTGCTCTGTCACCCTCACTGAGAAGAAGTTTCTTCTCAAATTTAAGTGGAACCTCCTGTGTTCCAGCTTGTGCCCATTACCCCTTGTCTTATCATTGTTTGTCACCGAGAAGAGCCTGGCTCCATCCTCGTGACACTCACCCTTTAAATATTTATAAACATGAATGAAGTCTCCCCTCAGTCTCCTCTTCTGCAAGCTAAAGAGACCCAGCTCCCTCAGCCGTTCCTCATAAGGGAGATGCTCCACTCCCTTAATCATCTTTGTAGCCCTACGCTGGACTCTCTCCAGCAGTTCCCTGTCCTTCTTGAACTGAGGGGCCAAGAACTGAACACAATATTCCAAATGTGGTCTCACCAGGGCAGAGTAGAGGGGAAGGAGAACCTCTCTCGACCTACTAACCACAGCCCTTCTGATACACCCCAGGATGCCATTGGCCTTCTTGGCTCCAAGGGCCCAGTGCTGGCTCATGGTCATCCTGCTGTCCACCAACACCCTCAGGTCCTTTTCTGCTTGCCCGCTTTCCAGCCAGTCATCCCCAAGCCTGCAGTGCTGCATGGGGTTATTGCGACTGAAATGTAGGACCCAGCACTTGGCCTTGCTGAAGCTCATACAGTTGGCCTCAGCCCATTGATACAGCCTATCCTGGTACACTTCCTTTTTATGTTTTAGTCAGGAGCTGCTTGCTCATCCACACAGGCCTCCTGCTGCCTTTTTGTAATTTCCTGCTCATCGGAATGGACCATTCTTGAGCTTGGAGAAGATGATTCTTGAAAATCAGCCAGCTCTCCTAGACTTCTCTCCAGGTCTGTGTCTCATGGGATTCTTTCAAACAGGTCCCTGATCAGGCCAAAGCTTGCTCTCCTAAGTCCGGCTTTGTGATCCTTGCTCCCTTTCTCTCAGGATCTTGAATTTCACTGTCTCATGGCCACTGCAGCCAAGACTACCCCCAGGTTTCACATTCCCGAGCTATTCTTCCATGTTTGTAAATATGAGGTGCAGCACAGCTTCTCCTCTCATCAGCTCTTTAACCATATGTTAGGAAGTTGTCATTAATACACTTCAGAAACCTCCTGGACTGCTTTTACCCTGCTGTGTTGTCTTTCCTATCTGGAACTGTATACCCACATAGAATTTCACAGGGTATATATAGAAATGTACTACAGCACCAGGTATATAAAAAGGCTCCTTGGACTGCACGGGATTATCCGATGTGTACAATATGACAGACAAATGTCATACACAGAGACATATGTTCTATCCTGCTAACCTTCAATCAGTCAAGTTATTCAAACAATTGTGTTTGATTCCTATATAAAAAAGTAAGAACAAGGGAGAATAATGTTTGAGGTGACCAGGATAGACAGACGGCATAAAAGTATTCCTATGGAGGTAAACAAAACAGTTGCTCCATAGCATTATTTTTGCTTTGTTTTAAGAATAGTAAGGCATAGTGTTTCTCAAAATCCACCTCTACAGACTTTTTAATAAATTATAAAGTCAGAAAAAAATATCAGCATTCATTACAGCTGGCTTGGTCATCTGCAACCTAAGCTAGTTTCGCATATTAATCAAGTTGGAGAGGGTTGCTCCTTTCTTCCCAAACAGAACAGATTTCCTTAGCTGATGCAAAATGACATCAGTCTGAGCTGCAGATGTTTATCTGTGGCTCTCTTTTTTAATAGCATAGAACAACAAATTTACTTGATTTGGTATTATTAAAAAAAAAGAATATTCAACTTGGAAAAAGACAATCTCAACTTAGCCATTAGAGGTGGTTATACATCTATCTTTCTTTGTCATCAAATTTTTAAAATGTTGCCTTCAAATTTTCTATTGAAAAGATAGTATTTGATTGATATTGCTGGTACTTATTTTTTGTGTCTAAAAATCTGTTTACATTCTACAACCATGGTTTGTTTCTTTCAATCTCTGGTCTTCTTTACTGTGTTTTGGTTGTGTCTGAAACACAGTTTTTAAACAGAATGTTTTACATCAAGACTTCTGTAGCCAGCCTATGCTGACTCATTAGATCACATGAGAACACACAGTTCTGCATTTTTCATACGCAAATTTAATACAAGCTGTAAAAATGAAAGAATTGATAAACAAAGATGCAGTCTTTGAGATGAGACTTGGAAAAGTATAATGACTTGCAATGGATGGACAAAAAACTCAACTTTATCAAATGCTATCAAACTCATTTAGGTACAGAGCATAACATGGGAGTATTCCTCTTGTTCATGGAGCTGTATAAAAACAAATCTTTAACAAATTTTCTACCTTGATTTTTTCCAAGTTCTATACATCTGTATCACTACACAGTGATACTCATCACTAAAGGCAGAAGATATAGAGCTAAGGCTTCTACTTACTTGAACTTGTAGCTTTCTCGTTTATTATTGACGAACCCATCCGCTAAATCACGTGGCACAATAATTTCCAGACTGGACAGAGATTTCTCATGGTCATCAACTGAATAAATCTAATCAGCATGGATATGAATTAACAAAACGATTTCACCAACAGAACAGCATAGACCTTAAGTATAACACTTACGTATCCTTAGCACCTCTAACTGCCTGGAGAAAAGCCTCACGCAAAATTCAGAATCACATTGTGTACAATGGCTATCAGTATGTCAAACCAACAGAGCAAACCCGAATAGCTCTGCCTACTTCAAAAGCCTACATGCACAGATCCTCCTTCAGCTATTATACAACAAAACAAGTACATACTAACACCATCCTGCTTGGTTCCTTGTAAACACTACAAGATTTGAAACAGTAATGTAGCCTCAATGACAAAATTTGCCTACAAAACCACTTCAATATCTAAGCTGTTACAAAAACAAACGAACGAAGCACAACCCCCACTGCAACGTCCTCTGTAAAACCTGGAAGAATACATTAGGAAAGACTATGACAGAATCAGTAGAGATAAGTTTAAAACAAGACAACAAAGAGACCTAAATGCACAATTTCTGAGGGACGCTTTCATTATCTTTTTTAGCCATGGGATTTACATGTTCCCCCTCCACTGCACAGAGCAGTGTTGAACTGCACAAAGCCAGTGACCAGCATCAAATATTTTTCCTGTGGGGTGTTTCTCTAACAACTAGGCAGAAGTTCCTCACCTCGTCCCCCAGTAGTAACAGTCTAAGCTCCTGCACTTCGTGGTTTTATTAACTTCTGAAGGTTTCGGGACACAGTATAAGGCTGTGACTTTCCGCTCCGCATGCGACCAGGGCCAAACCCCTCAGCCGTCAGGAGCCGGCAGGGCCTCTTGAAGCGGGGGTGGGGGCAAAAGGGAAGGAATGTACGCTCACTGCCCGCTCCCTCCCCGCCTTCGGTCGGCCGCACGCACCCCCACTCCGCGACGCCCTTTGGCTCGCCCCAGCCGCCCCACTACACTCCCCAACAGCAGGCTCCCCATCCTACCCCCGCCTGCTGCCGCCTGCCCAGCGGCTTCACCCGCGCGTACACCCGGATCTTCTCCTTCGCCATGGCCGAGCGTGACGCCCGCCTGGCAACGGTAACCCAACCCGGCTGGCAATGGTAACGCTACCCAGCGTGCACCGCGGCGGGCGGGCGCGAAGAGGCGGCAGTCGTGGGTGCCCGCTTGGTACCTAGAGAGGCTTAGAGGGGGAGGAGGGAGCAACCGGGCTTAATGTGCGGGAGGTGGCTGCCACTCCCGCTGCAGGAGGATGACTGCCTGCGTGACCGTTAATGGCATTTTCGCCCAGCTGCTTTCCCCCACGCCGAAGTGTCATGGCTGTGAGAAAAGGGAGCTTGTGACCACTGCCCGACTGAGAGGCGCGGTGTTTGTATCGTATGTGGATTGCTCTGTTGACACACTAGAAATTCCTTGCCAAGTCTGTGTGGTTCACCAAATCACAGAATCGTTATGGTTGGAAAAGACCTTTAAGATCATAAAGTCCAACTGTTAGCTAACTCTACAATGCCCACTTCTAAACCAATCCCCTGAGCACCATATCTTTTAAATACATCCAAGGCTGGTGATTCAACCACTTCCCTGGACAGCCTGTTCCAGTCTTAACCCTTTTGATGTAGAAATTTTTCCTAATGTCTAACCTAAACCTGTGTTACCTGTCTGAAACCACCTCTGTAAGTTTCAAGAGAAGTATCTGTTAACCAGCTGAAAGATCTGGAAGGGAAATTGGGGGGAAAATACCTAGCTTACATGCAATGAAGACATCAATTTTTTGAAATCTAATATAAAAAGGTACAGAAAAAGCCACTAGTGGGTAATAGCAGGTGTTTTCTTGTTATGAGAGCTAAACTTACACAGAAACAGTAGTAAGATTACATTATTCTGTGAAGTGGTTTCTGAAGGTGACACAAGCAACATGGTATTATTTTGGTGAGAAATAGTGGTAAAGATCAGATTACAATGATTACAAGTCCACTAATTTAAATTAAGTGGAAAATCAGGAACTTGACTACAGAGGAGAATAGAAATGTCTTCAATTCAGATATGGTAAAAGTATGTTGAACTTGTATTCTAAATAAGATAAGCAATAGGGGAAAGATTTCCTGTCCCAACTGCATAAGTAACTGTCTCAGAAAGCATATAAGGCATAAATAGTGAGCCTTCAGCGAATGGAATGGAAAAGCACTAATCACCAACTCAAATCGAGTGCAAAAGTCAAAAGGATAAAAATGAAATCAAATGGAAAATAATACTTGGTGATTAAATAGAGAGTGAAGGAAAAACAGGACATTGGAATGGGATAATGGAATAAATGCTGAGTGCCATCTCAACATTGCTCCAAATTGACAAAAAAAATTGTCCCTTGTCAGTGAGGATGGGGATGCTGAAGATGATATTAGAGGCAGAAGTGACTGACAGGAAGGAAGTGTGAAAGGGAAATTGCTGCAGCCAAGAGGGAAGCAGAACCCACAGACTTCAGTGAATTTAGACTGGAAGACAGGGATTTGAGAAGGAAGAGTAAGTAATTTCAGACCCAGAATTCTGAAAGAACTGGGATGTTTAATTGAAGGTCCAGGAACCATGTGTGTTGTTGGTTGGTTTGGTTCTGTATTGAAACAGACACAGAAGAGTATAGTATTCCTGAAAAACAGTAAATTGAATTGTCAGCTGTGCTATTTTAGCAGCTTAGTGGGATTATGAATTAACTGGGCAGTGGACATTGAAACACTGGAATTATCTGTGTGGAAACCCATTTTGTGTCTGCTGGTGTTCAGTACCTGGAATATGGAGATGGATGAATGAGATAGTATTGCTTTTGGGACAAAGTCTGACCTGCAGAGGGTTTAGATGCCATTCTTCGAGATAAAGTCTAAGCTGTAAACTCTGAACCAATGGCATGGTGAAGAGACACCCAACTGGGTTTGCATATCTTATTTGCTGAAGTAATGTGAGTATTAATACAACTGCTACATTTTCAGAGGCATTAGTTTCAGGGAACTTTTCTCTAAAATAGCATTTTTTTTCCAGAAAAGTTATATAAATGATCAAAGTAGTATGTACAGTTATACATCAGGACAAAAACTATTCGGTACATTTGAAAGCTAGTTAAAGGATTAATTAAACTATTTATTTCTGTTTGAAGCTGTAAAAATAACACAAATAGCAAAATAATAACAAAAAACCTTAAATAACACAAAACTTTCATTAGCCAAGAGAGATTAAGACATCTGTCGCAATCTCTTCACTATTCCATGATTTAACTTAATTTACCTATGAACAGGGATTTGATTAGAGTCCCTGCTGTGATGACTTTACACACCATGTCCAGTGCTTGCTAGAAGCAAAAATCTTCACACGTGGAAAAAAAAAAAGAAAAAAAAAGAAGGGACCAGCAGATTTCCAACCTCTAAGAGAAAATAAGGAAATAAGGTAGAAAGAAACAAGAAGAATATGATAAACAAAAGCCATTTTTTGAAATCCTCAATTACAGAGTTGCTGATTAACAGAAATCTTCTCTTGAGGCCCGGCTAAAGAAATAACTGGCTTTTAAAATTTTCCTAAGATTTGGAAAAGGTGCCTGTTATTAGAGGTGAAGAGCTGATTACAAAGATGCAGGAATTGTAGGATGTCTTTCTGTTATTATGTAAGAAAAAGGACTGTTTTCAGCATTTGTATTTCTTACAGCTTTCAGGAAAGTCATGGAAAATGGAGCCTGAAGGTGACAGCTAACCACTTCAGGTAATGTACTGGTCTGGAAATTGTATCTTATGCTGGAGGCCTGAAAAATGTTGGTTTGCTTTGAATTGACTACATTTAAGATCTTCCTGTCTTCCCTGGAAAACCACTTTGTACTTGAAGAATTTTCAGCTTTTGCATTTAGACTAAACCTCAGGGTCAAACTTTCTTCATCTCCATTTTTTGAGAAAGTGCACCACAGAACACAAGCAACCTATAGGCTTGAAACAATTATGTGACTATAAATTACAGAATCTGGCAATCACATGTTTCAAAAAGGTCAGCCATTGCATTCGGAATTAGTAGTTACAACATCATAACTAATCATCTGCCTTTACCGTTGTAGTTTTCTTCCGATTAAAAAAAGAATACAGGTCATATTATGTACTGGAGCTGACAGTTCAAGGACTAGTACTCCATTATGTCACCTAGCAACTTAATAAGCTTCCAAATAAACAGCCTTGTAAGTTTTATAATAGCCTAAACTTTCAAGTCCTTTCTTTTTGTTTCCAAAGTTTTACTTTTCTTTGACTTTACTTATTCTTGGCAATTATCATGCCATTTGGCTGAGATCATGATTAGAAGCTAGAACATGGTAGATCAACTGGACAGGATGAAGGGCCAAAACTCTTGCCAAAGTCTGAGTTCGTCTCATCATCCAACTTCTGGAAACATTTGTGCCAAATGTGTATCTTCTACATGACCAGAAACCCGTCTTAAATGACCAGAACTTAAAATCTGAAACTTGGCCTAAATTTATGTATGATATCTGTTGAGTATGTTATATGACCTCTGCCAGAAAAAGTACAACCTCTATTTGTAAAAGGTGTGGTAATATAGAAATCTATGTTGCTATATTTGAATGGCATGTGAAAAGGTTGTAGCAATATTTTTTTAATATTTCAAGTATCGTCCCAAAGCCTTATAACCTTTGTTGTTTCTGCTTATGTGCTCAGTTTTACAATGTAAGTTCATGTAAACTGCCTTGTTCAGCTTTTAACAGTCAAGCCCTGTAAGAAAAGCAGAGATGTTTCTGTCTTTTAGGTGACTGTTACAATCTGTTTCTTAGAAAACAGTGCTACATCTTCATGTATGTTAGTCATATTTGGAAAGTACCTTAAAATTTCACTTCTGTGAATTCTTACCAAACACATTTATATGTTTCCTAAAAATGTATGTCTTGGTAGACTCAGCCAAGACATAAAATCTTAAAATATCTTCCTGAGGTCTTATGTATTTGCATACATGGATGCATATATGTATTTGTTTGTTCTTTTTAGAGTAACCCAAAACTCCATAAAGAAGTTTAGGGATCCTTAGGACTCTGACTGCAACATGCAATAAATCTTTTTTCCAAGTTGGGTTTTTTTGTGGTTTTTTTTCATCTTCTAAATGGTAAACTGTATCTTTGCTGCATACTACAATGCAAGAAGTGTTAGCAGAGGGCACAAACATACTCTAATGCAATGCTGATGTTATCTGCTTTTTTTGTTTTTTTTTTCTACCTCCTTCCCACATTTATCTTTAGCATTATAGTTTTTCGTATTTGTTATTTTGTCATTAAACCTTCCAAAGTCCATTATTGATTTGTCTCTGACTGAGGGACAAATAAAATGCTAGATGAACATGAGTAGAAAAGGCTGTGTGGTTTTGGGTTTTTTGATCTGAAAACTAGTGAGAAATTTAGATTCTTGTGTTCAGTGCTGCTCAACAAATAATTCCTTTTATTGTTATTGTATAAATAGTTTGTGTATGTTCTTGTTTGAAGATGATTACAATCCCATCAGCTTCAGCAGAACATTATGAAACATAATTATTAGTCATTATTGATTTAGAATAAAACTTCGAAGCCATGGATTAGAAGTTTAGATGGGTATTGTGTAGAGTAAAAAAAAAATAAAAGTCCCTATGTTAAACAGCTCTTGCTGTCCATGTTTAGGACAGATAACAATGCAGGAAAAGAGGAAAATAAAAGGAAGTACTGTGGATAATATTGGCACAAGAGTCAGAGGCTAGGATTCTCCTATTGAGCTGTTGTACAGACATTACTATAAAGAGAATTTAAAGAAAGACAATCCTGTCATTGGTTACCTAAAAGAAGACACCAACACCCACCTCTCTACAACCTCTTTTGACGTGGTTGTAGAGAGTGATAAGGTCTCCTCTCGGTCTTCTCTTCTGCAAACTAAACAATCCCAACTCCTTCAGCTGCTCCTCAGAAGGCTTGTTCTCCAGACCCTTCACCAGCTTAGCTGCTCTTATCTGGACACGCTCCACTGCCTCAATGTCCAAGATGAACAGCTCAATAATCTTCCCT